GATTCGCAGCTTGCTGTCTAGCAGGACTTCCCCATCACAGACCCCACGGAGCACCCTTCGAAAACTCAGCACCATCGACTCTGAATTCGTCAGGAGAGCAATGCGGGAGCGGTCGTTGAATTCCATGATGCCCGCCAGGACGACGATAAAAGCCAAGATGGTCAGCTGCTGAAGAAGAGTGACATGTACAGAAAATGGATCAAGTTTCCAGGCCTTCCATATCTCCACCGCGCTCAACAGAGCTTGACCAGGAACACAGATTTGCAAGTCGACAAACATCAAGGCAATGGCGAAGCGGATAGCAACCCAAACGGCTGTGAGGATCAGCTCGTTCTGACAATCACCTCGATGGCCATGGAGCGCAAGAGCCATCATGACATGCATCGCAAACAGCAGGAATCTCGATGTGATTTGGTTCAAAGGCACGATGTTGGCACTGAATGCTACATGCATGACCCAAGCAAACATGGAAACGGTGATGGGCCAGTGTGAGTGCGCGTTCTGGTTCCAACGCAGATGGAGTATTTGGCCCAGGATGCACGTGGCGGAAATGTGCACACAAGCCCGGCAAGAGGAACGATATTGTTTGATTCGTGCATCCCATAGAGCCGCTTCCAAGCGTTCGTTTGATTGTCCATCCAGCCCATGCAGCACGGCATTGGCCGTACGACGCAGGATAGAGACCATTTCAGAGCCAAAAATCCAACAGTGGATCGCCAGCAACACGGCCCCACTGGTCATCACCAAAACGGACATGTCCATTTCGCCCGAGGGGCCCCGTGCGGCCTACCCGCTCTGCAGGACTTGAGCCCAGCTGCCAATGCAAAATACGGGGTAGTGCCCACACCCTGAAATAGCATCAGGTTTGCCCTGAGAAATCGGGGGGCCTGCTAACGACCACATATGCAAAGGAAGCTTCTTCCGAAGTCCCTTCATCCTCCCAGCTGCTGATTTCAGCAACCTGCTGGTTGACCGCGAAAACTTCACCCCTTGCTGGTTGCCATGCCACGTTGGCACCCCAGCTGCTAAGAATCCACCTGCTTGCGCCTCCATATGATTTTGGGCGGGTCGCTCTGTCTGTCTGCCTGGTACTTCTGACCACTGCCGTTGTCGGCCTAGAATTCTCGAATCAACCGAATAGACCGTCTGTGATTACTCAAGCCACAATTCACCATCGTTTTTATATATACATATGTATATATATATATATATACATGTGCGTGCATGCACGCGGACGCACAATCGTGCGCCTTCTCCTCGGCCTTGCGCTTGGCCTCGGCCTCTGCGGCGGCCTTGCGCTTGGCCTCGGCCTCGGCTGCCTTGCGCCGGGCGCGCTCCTCCTCTCAGGAAAGGCCACACATAGCACACATATATGTATATATATATATATGTATATAAATGTCTATGTCTATAATGTATATAAAATATGTCATGTCTATATAAGATATGTATACATATATATATATATATACATATATATGTACGAGATACACGTGCGCGCATCGCACGCACTTAGTGTCTGTCTCAGCATAGATGCTAGCGTTCAGTTCCTAGCCTGGGAGGGGGGAGGGGGGAAGTCTTTATCTGTTGAGATATATATATATATAACATATGTATGATATATATATATATATGTAAAAGAAAACATAATATTATATAATACAATACAATAAAATACAATATAATATTTTTTACTAGTAGAATTTTGTAATACCCCGAGGAAAATATTCACAGAATTTTCATCACTAGGCACAGAGTTAGTGGCATAGGTGAGCCACTTCTGTCGCTTGAGACTTGTGTTTTTGCTGCGTCCTCTACTACACCAGTCTACAGTCTACAGTAGCTCTAAGGGACTGCAGGCCTCTCTCCAACTCCATCCGTCATACCATCCGGAGATATCCGGAGCCTCGGCTACACATCCCGTCCAAACTGGCGTCCTGCTCCTTCTTGAGGCTGCTGAGCAAGTTCACTGGGAATTTCCAGCGTCCAGCTCCTCGGCACAGGCCCAGGGGTGGACTTTTTTTGGGTCCTTTTTTGGGCGGGGGAGGGGGAGGTTCCCCCAGGCCCAGCTCAAGGAGGTGCGCGAAGTGGCCCCGATGCAGTCACAGGGAAGAAGCTACTGAGTAGGCCTTGTTTCCAAAAACAACAAACGCATGAACGCCACAAACTTTTCCGTTGCACCGCCCTCCCGGAGCATCTCAACCTCAAGTCCCTTCACCTCTGCGACCACTTCGTCTTGCTAGCCATATTATAATTAAGGGCACCCTGTTTGGGGTTGGTTACTGTATAAGGGTATAAGGGAACCCAGAACCAAAAAAGGGTAATTTACCCCTTTTTTCTGGTTATGGGTTCCCTTATACCCTTATACAGTAACCAATCTTAGTAAAGGGTACCCCTGGGCTACCAAGTCGTAAAAAAGCACTGCACTCCGAGCGCGGCTCCGAAGAGATCGATGTAGTGGGCGCCCGTTGAGATGCCGTTCACCAGCCCAGTCTCCTGCAAACAACACATTAATTAGGGTTTAGGTTTTAGGGTTTATAGGGTTTATAGGGTTTATAGGGTTTGTAGGGCTTATAGGGCTTATAGGGCTTATAGGGCTTATAGGGCTGATAGGGCTTATAGGGCTTATAGGGCTTATAGGGCTTATAGGTTTAGGGTTCAGGGTTCAGGGTTAGGGGGTTTCCGAAAATGCGGGTACCTTCTTGGGTCTTCTATGACAAGGGGATCCTGCGATTTGGGGGCCTATTGCAGGGTTCCCTTGTATTCCCTTGTTTTCGTAAACCCCCACATGCAACAGGTCGTCGTAGCGAGCGCTTGACACTTGTGCGCGGTCTCCGGCGGTTAGTCTAAGAAACCTTCGAGCATTCATGTGTGCAAGTTACGCCTCATATGTGGGTGAGCTCGGCTTTCGCCAGCCTGGACAAAACGAGATACGCAGAGAGCCCAATACCCCTTAACTAAGGAACATGCCTTACAATATCTAGGGATCCTTGATATGAGTTAAGGTCTATTCCCTTGTTTAAGGGGTATTGGGCTCTTTGGGTACCTCGAGCCGCTACGGCTTGACCGGAAGGCCTAAACCCGAAACCCTAGACCCTAAACCCAGCAAAGCCAAGACCCCGATGCGAAAATTGCAGCACTTCTGGCTCTCCTCGCTGAGTGTGCAGCAGGGCTCCTGGGATTCCCCACTGAGCATCGACACTAGAACGCCGCATACACAAACATGCAGAAACATGGCATCCGGTGCTGGGACAGGGGTTTACTGAATTTACAGGGCTTTATAGGGTTTATGGCGTTTGCAGGGTTTGGGGGGTGTAAGCCTAGACGTGAATCCGTGTCCAAGCTGATGATTCTTTCACGCCTCCCTTTGTTGCAGGGATACCTGGGCTCTCTATCAACTTTCGGCCTGGAGTGCCAAGCTAAGCTCCCAAGCTGCCCCTGATATCCTAGAAACTCGGCCATTTTGGGCCCCGAGGAGTTTTCGGCTCAGCACATACAAGTACAAGACGCGAGCTGTTAGGGAGTCGGTTTTTCACGCTGCGTCTTCACCGTCAGAACTAGAGCTTGGGAGTTCGTCACTGTCGGAATGGCGAAAAATTGTCAAGCTTCTCTTGTTTACGCTTTTGAGTTTGACCGGAAGGTTGAAGATTGATGCTGCTCAGAAAACTACTCTTCAAACATCGATGTTGTTGTTGGTCCAAGCTTGCTTTGAACCGGTTCAGGACTTCCCAAGCTCACGGCCCAACCTCAGATCGAAAGAAGTCTAAGAAACCTACAACTTCAATTCTCATCTTTGACTTTCTTGGCCGGGCGCAACTCGCAACATGAATATTCGCACGTAATGCACACTGCCAATACTCCAAACTTCTGAAGGTTGCCTCGCCATTTTATGTCTTAACCTAAATTCCCAAGAAACCTGAACCGTTCAACCCCTGGACCCGAGCCCCCCAAGGCAGTTAAGAACGAAGCCTAGGCTCATAGACCCCAAAGCCTACATGAAACCAGGGTTTCGGGTGTAGGGCTTAGGGATTTTAGGGTGTCGGGTCCAGGGTTTAGAGGGACCGCTTCTGATTGACTTTGGTTCATGACAGTGACAGGGATGCAGTCTCACAATGACCCTATGTCACGAAACTCTACAAGCACTTATCCCCCAGCCCATGACCACCATGACCACCATGACCACAGCCGCGCGACTGTCTTGATGTTGGCGAAGGGGTCAGCAATGGGCCTCCCAGCAAGTCTCTGCAGGCTGCAGCATTCCGCCGGTTGCACATGGGTAGCTTTCTCTATGAGGGTCACTATTGGGGGGTCCTATAGCCCCAAAAAAGGAACCCTAACTTAGAGAACTACCCGCATGCGGCGTGCATGTAAACGTCAGTGATCGTTCATGAAAATCGGTACAACCAACGCGTGTCAAATTTAGGAAGCAGACGCTGGGCTTTAGGACACTGGCACGCCTCGGCTTCTTTGGCGAGGACGCTGACGTTTCATCTTCCTGTCCTTCCTGCTTCAGCTGCTTCGCATCTTCGAAGGAGATGAGGACCTGTGCACGCAGATGGACTATGATTTGCTGAACTCCATACCCAGAATCCATAATCTTTCAGGCCATTTCAGGCTGGGCACCCGGTTGTCCTTCGCCATGACCAGCTGGAAACCCTCCCCAGTGATCCTGCTGTAGACACGGTGCATTTCCAGGGCTCCGATTCCGTTCGTCCACTGGTAAGCACAATGGTAGCTACATCCAGTGTGGGCTGTGTCCAAGGTGATGTGGAGTAAGAAGCTTCAATGAAGGGGCTGCATCCGAGCTAAGGTTCGCGCATCTGCACGGTGAGGTGCAAGTCCTTCGATGCGCAAACGACGCCACACTTCGGCTCGGTCACCCTTCTGTCCACTTAAGCATGCAACGAAGAATGCCGGACCTCGCACAACCGATGCCTCATGCAGATTGACACTACACGAGCTGGAACCCGCCGAACTTCTCCTGTTCCTACACCCTAAACCCTAAACCCTAAACCCTAAACCCTATACCCAAAACCCGAAAATGGACCTTGATCTAAACGCGATCCAAGCAGCATCAGAAAAGCGAGGACTCATCCTTGGTAAACGGAGCAGCACAACATGGTGCTGCAAATCGCTGCGGCCAAGTGTCCCAAAATCAGCATCCATAAGAGCATACGAATAAGGGAACCACCCAGACCGCCCTGAACCCTAAGAGGATACAAGTCTACGAGGATACAAGTCAGGGAGCTACCCGAACCGCCCTGAAACAAAAACACTAACCCTCCCAGAGAATGTGTGAGGCCTGAGGCTGTGGCCTTGCCGCGCCCTTTCCACGCGGAAGCTCGAGGACGCACGCCACAGTCCTCTTCGAAGATTGGAGGAAAAAATGGATTTCTGTGATTTTTTCGGGTCCTCGCCTGGTTGGGTCTAAGCCGAACTCCACCTTTGAGAATTGTCACATCAGGTGTCTCGCCATCGTTAGGTGCTTCGTGCTTGGGGCCCGACGATCTCCTGGAGGAGGATCTGCCAATGCGCAAGAACGAGAAGATCCCAGAACTACTAGCGTGAGAGGTGCTGCACTGATCGTGCCCTTGTCCCAAAAAGCCTCCATCTTGTTCTTCTCCTGGCAGGGTTCCACCAGGAGCAGAGGGGCAGGGACATGATCGAGCCGACACTGCGCCACTTTGGGCGACCTTCACAAGATGGGGGTTTCCGAAAATAGAAGTACCCACTTTTTTGGGGTTCCTATAAGAAGGGCTATAGTCGGCTATAGCATTTTGGGGGTATATTCAGGGTACCCCTATTTTGGGAGATGCCCAGATAAGGACTGCGGCTTCAACTTGAGGCTCCACGAGGTCCAGTTGACCACCAAGACTTCCCTCCGATTGGCCTTCGTGGTGGTTTGCTTCTTTTTCTTGGTGTACCTGGGAGCACACTGTGGCGCACACCAAGGAGCACCTTCCGACGAAACGCCATTCAACTCGTAGCCATCGGGGCCGCCACACAGTGACCTGCTGGTCTGGTGCACGAACCTCGAGGACACAGAGGGTGCTAGGCCAAGCAGCCCTGGGGCCCTTGTGACATCCTGTGACCATTGTAGCATGCTGCAGCACTCGGGCCTTTGTGCCACCACGCATGAACTGCGGCGTGAAGGCCATAACCAGCAGCGCCTGATTCCGCTTCGGAACTCACTTGGCGCTGCATAGAATGAGAGGTGTGCACACGGCAGGCTCCAGGCAGGTTCAAGGGAAGAGTCCCAAGAGGTCCCAAACTCTTCAGAGGGGCCTTGAGCTTCCATGCGTCGCTACAGAAGAGGTCCTTGGCGTAGGTGCGTCGACTTCCACCCACCGTCAGGGAGGTGCTTTGACTCTCCAGATGATCTAAGTTCAGACTGCAACAGAACCATAGAAACGGCGGTTCAGACTGCAACAGAACCATAGAAACGGCGGCCTGAAGAGTTTCCCCTAGACTACCTGCCCTCGTCGTGTCTTTGGTACCATCTGCAGCTGGCGACAGGCCAGGTCTCTGATCCCGCACGGATCCCACACTGCAACCAGGCAGCTGTCACTTTCGGCAGCGCCTCCTGAGGCTGTCGAAACTGGGTGCTGACACTGAGCTTCGGATGTCAACTTGAATCTAAACAAATCAGAAAAAAACCTCAAATCAAAGGCAGACCCTGCTCAGATGCCTCCGCAGCCTCCACGGAGCTGTAGACCCGCTCGCCTGCCTTGCACGTAGCGGACATAGCATCGGAAAAAGCGAGAGAAGTCTTGCACAGCTTCCGGCACGGCTCCACCACAAGCCTGCATGAGGGTGAGGAGGCTTTCCAGCTGCTTCAGGATAGCCGAGCCCTGAGGGGCCAGGCTGCAGTCGGATGCAGTTGTGGCTGCAGTAGCCGTGATGGATTTTGGGACATGGTGGCTTGGGGTCTGTAGGCTGGGAAGCTGAACACTCAAAAAACAAACGTTCAAATCAGCTGCCTCGGGAAGGAACTTTCGCATGCGCGTGGCCTCACGATGTCCAAACAGGCTGCGTCGAGACTTCTCTCAGCGAAGCTATAGCTCGGCATGTGTCACGGAGCATCAGAAACGATGCCAAAGTGTATTTGAGAGGTGGTCTACTCACCCAGGCTCCCCCCGACTTCACGAAAAGCTCTTCCATTCCCTCACATACTCTCCCTAATCCGAAACCCACACGAGACGTAACGGCAAAGGAAATGTGTAAACAAAAGGCACGGGAGGCGCCTAAGCAACAACTATTCCAGGGCCCTGACCGTGTCGAGAATAGCCTCGCGAGCGCTTCTGCAGCTTTGGCAGGTCGGGGATTCGCGCATTTCTGTGACGGTCATGGATATTGTAACATGCCTTCGCTCTGTTCACTCAAGGACTACTTGTAGCCAGCCCTGCTTACGTGAACACTGCGAAGGCTCCTTCTCCGGTCGAATCTCGCTGTGAAGGAATGCAGGCATGATGCAGCCCATTTTCAGAGTAGACAAGCTGCGTTCGCCAAGTACCCTAAACCCTAAACCCTAAACCCTGAACCCTAAACCCTAAACCCTAAGCCCTCGAAGAAGGAGGGCTTAAGAGTAGACAAGCTGCGTTCGCCAAGTTGACCAAGCGCTTGGGGACCACGGCAAACTTCGAGGCCATAACTGAGTCGAGTCAAGCTTGGCAGCTGCTGAAGGCTGCTGGCCGGAAGCTCTGCATTCGAAAAGTTAATGCCGGGGGGGGGGGGGGGGGGGGGAAAAGATGCAAAAAAACAAATAAAAATAATAAGAATAATAATAGTAAAAAATTATTCTAATAATAACAATAATAATAGTAATAATAATAATAATAAAGGGCGCTCACAGCTCAGGAGGTGCCGGGGCGGCGGCGCTGCGCACACCGCGTGAAGGCGCTGCGAGTGGACTCGCGGCCGACGCGCCTTGGCTGCCACTCGCCGAAGTACCGAAGCCACGGTTTAGGGTTTAGGGTTTAGGGTTTAGGGTTTAGGGTTTGGGGTTTGGGGTTTAGGGTTTAGGGTTTAGGGTTTAGGGTTTAGGGTTTAGGGTTTAGGGTCTAGGGTCTAGGGTCTAGGGTTTAGGGTTTAGGGTTTAGGGTTTAGGGTTTAGGGTTTAGGGTTTAGGGTTTAGGGTTTAGGGTTTAGGGTTTAGTGAACCCTTGACAAAGGTACTCGGTCTCGTGGAGGGTGGCGCCTCATAAGGCTTGGGGCCTCGCTTGCTACAGTGCCGTCCTGTTCTTTCAAGTGCCCGCTGCAATCACAAAGCAGGGAGTAGCACCCCCCCCCCCTCCCCCCGGCCCCCGCCCCCAAACAGAAGATGTTGCCGGGTCTTGTGTCCAGATACAAGGCAAGGGGCCCACGACGATTGCACTTATCGACCTGCATCTTGCGAAACTCCAAGAGGAAGTGCACAAACCTGCCACCCATCTGCGCTTATTCGCCATCAACTCCATCTGGGAGTTCCATCTGCGAGTGTTCCGAAAACCAGGGGTAGTTTTTTTTTTTTGGGGGGGGGGGGGTCCGACGACAAGGATTCGAGTATTCTGGGGCATGCAGCCTAAACCCCAAATCCTAAACCCTGAACCCTAAACCGTAAACCCCCCTCATCCCGCAGGATCTCCCATCGGGTAAGCCGCGCCGGCCGCGCAAGTTCCGGAGCATCAGCGTCTCCTGGCACCACAACAGGGTCTAGGGTTTAGGGTTTAGGGGCTAGAATTAGGGTTTAGGGTTTAGGGTTTAGGGTTTAGGGTTTAGGATGGTTTAGGGTTTAAGGGTGGACGCTGCAGCTCAGGGTTGGAAGCCAGGTTCCATATTCCGCCATCGAGTGTTCAGACCTACGAGGCCCACGTTCGGAAATCCCATGAAAGCCACCCTTAAACCCTAAAACTCTCAACCCTGAACCCTCAACCCTAAACCCTCAACCCTCTACCCTATACCCTCAACCCTAAATCCCATGAAAGCCACCCCTAAACCCTAAACTCTAAACCCTAAACCCTCAACCCTCAACCCTAAACCCTACATCCCATGGAGCTCCCATGAAAGCCTCATTTGTTGCAGCGACAGGAAGACGTGGATCCCTCCAAGGACGTTTGTATAGCCCATGTCTTCAAAGATATTTCGGCGATGCATAAAGCTGAGCCGTTCAGGGTTTAGGGTTTAGGGTTTAGGGTTTAGGGTTCAGGGTTTAGGGTTCAAGGAGTTATAAAAGCGAGCCAAGTGAGCCGACCAGTGGCCATGGTCGAAGTACTTCCTGGACTCGTAGCTTCGCCGCACTGCCTGGCTTTGGCCGCTCCGGGCATGCTCCCAGAGCTGATTTCGGAGGGTTTAGGGTTTTGGGTTTCGGGTTTCGGGTTTAGGGTTTAGGGTTTAGGGTTTCGGGAAACTGTGAGGAGAACGGTGCTGCCCAACGGTATGCCTCATGACCAAGGCGTCTTGCGAGGCGCCTCAGCATACTCCTTGGGATCCTTCATGATGAGGTGCGACGGCAAAGTGAAGGGATCCTGCACAGGCTACTGGGCGCTGAGTATGCATCCCTTGTAGCTGGCGCCGCTTGGGCTGAGGCTTCTTACGGTTCCGGTTTCCCCCTGCCTCCTTGCTCATGAGCCTGCCAGTCCAGTAATTACAGTCTTCTGTACTTTAGCATCTCCAGCCATCTTGCTCTTCAGCCCGTCATTTGCATGAATGTCTAAAATCTTAGCTCTGAAAAGAAATCAGAACCGTTCCATAAAATGTTCATGTCCTTGCCGTTCTTCGGCAGTGCACCCCGCATGTGCGTATCGCTTCATCCTATCACATCAAGGAGCACAAGCTTGTGCTTAATGCACGTTAGCTTCATTCGGACTCTGTCAGGTCTCCCGCCCCAGGATCCGCGTAAACAAAACCAAGTTGGGAACTTTGCGAAAACTTGTGAACCCCTTGTACACCACCAAATTCTCGAAGGGTTACCTCAAAAAAGGGGGACAAATTTTTCGGAACTGCCAGGATATCGGCAGCTATATCGGACTCAGGCCCGAAAGTGATGCGGACTTAGGGTGGTTGAGGCCTCTCACCTGGCCAACTGGAAAGGTTCCACCTTGTGCGGTTCTTAGCTCTCGCATGGGGGTTTACGATAATAAGGGGGCCCTACTGTGGACCGCCCAGATGGTAGGATCCCAGAAGGACCCCAATAAGATAACCCTATTATCATAAAACCCCCTAAACTCTAAACCCTAAACCCTAAACCCTGAACCCTAAACTCTAAACCCTAAACCCTGAACCCTAAACTCTAAACCCCGATATCAACCCCCCACATTATCCAGTCGCGGTAGACCGGAGCGCCTTGATTCCCTCCTCGCGAGTTCACTGCTGGAGTATGCCGGAGTTGTTCATTGGTTGGGATGGTCCCGCTTATATTAACAGCCCTTTGTAGGGACTATAATGCCCCCTAGGGATTATAGTGCCCCCTATTCTCATCCCAATCAAGGACTGTTTCTTTCAGGGGGAGCATCCCAATTCATTGCATTGCAGGAGCCAGCCCAGCTGCGTCGTCGTCTTTTGAACTCAGTCTTTTCCCCGAGGCACGTTCATTTTTCCTTCGAAGCGACCCTATTGTGTCCAAACTTCTTCAAAAAGTCCCGAAGCTCTTTCTCAATTCGATAAGTTTGGAGACCACTGACGAGCCAGATGCGTTCCGTGCGATGGGAGGCTGTTCGACAGCTGCTGGCACCGACAGCTTGCAGGGACATCTCTATCTCCACATGGGTAGTTCTCTAAATTAGGATCCCCTTTTGGGCCCCTAGGATAGCACGGCACCCTCAGAAGTTGCACCTCAAAAGAGAGGACCGTAATTTAGAGAACTGCCCATATCCAGATCCTTCAAGACTTGGTAGCCCAGCAACCACATTGCAACAAGGGCACCCTTTCTCTGGCTTGGCGACTGAGAGAGGGAACCCATAACCAACAAAAAGGGATAGAGGGCACCGCTGGGCCACCAAGAAGAGCCAAAAGATGGACGCGAACCCTAAACCCTAAGCCCTAAGCCCTAAACCCTAAACCCTAAACCCTAAACCCTCTCTATCATATATATATATATGTATATATTTATTTATTTATATTTATTTTTATTTATTTATTTAAACATTTATTTATTTATTTACTGAAACCTTCGGGACTTTTCGGTCAATCTGACCCCCAATGTTCGTGACTTTTCGGTCAATCTGACCCCATGTTCACGACTTTTCGGTCAATCTGGACCAGTGTTGGTGACTTTTCGGTCTATCTGACCCCAATGTTCGCGACTTTTCGGTCAATCTGGACCAGTGTTGGTGACTTTTCGGTCAATCTCCAACGTTCGCGACCTTTCGGTCAATCTGGACCAGTGTTGGTGACTGTTCGGTCAATCTGGGCCAGTGTTGGTGACTTTTCGGTCAATCTGGACCAGTGTTGGCGACTTTTCGGTCAATCTGGACCAGTGTTGGTGACTTTTCGGTCAATCTGGACCAGTGTTGGGGACTTTCCGGTCAATTACTCGGTCAATCTGACCCTAATGTTGGTGACTTTTCGGTCAATCTGGACCAGTGTTGGTGACTTTTCGGTCAATCTGGACAATATTTTTGGTGGCCCCGAAACCAAAAACAGCTGCAAGTTAAACCAATTGTATTTAACTTGCAGCTGCTTTTGGTTTCGGGGCCACCAAACGCCACTTTGTTTCGGAGTTTTGCGGGTCAAAATTCCCACGAAATGGGTAGGTAAAACCCTCTGAGGTAGGATGACGACCTTTTATTTTCTTAATGTTATGAGATTCTTTGGGCAGGTGGGGTTTTTTCTGAGCCTGGAACCCCCTAATGACTATGAATGCTAGAACAGTGACCCTCTAGACCCTAAACCCTAAACCCCAAACCCTAAACCCTAAACCCTAAATCCTGAACCCTGAACCCTGAACCCTAAACCCTAAACCCTACCCCCTAAACCCTAAACCCTAAACCCTAAACCCACATGATTCCCGTACCCATCTCTGGCCTGGACGCTGGCCGCGGCTGCGCAAACAACTCCCTCCTGAGGTCTACGAGGCGGGAGGCTTAGGGTTTAGGGTTGAGGGTTTGGGTTTTAGGGTCTGGGGTTTAGGGTTTCGGGTGTAGGGTTTCGGGTGTAGGGTTTAGGGTTTCGGGCCTTTCGGGTTTAGGGTGAAGATTTGGAGATGCCCCCGAAAGACGGATGCTGGGATCCCTGGTGGCTTCCGATGGTCACCAGCTGGGCCCGCGCACGCAAGGCATCCCAAGCAGGGCCCCGAAGATGACGAGACGGCAGAGCTGAACCTGGAGTCAAGGGGGTTTAGGGTTTAGGGTTTAGGGTTTAGGGTTTAGGGTTCAGGGTTCAGGGTTTAGGGTTTAGGGTTTAGGGTTTAGGGTTTAGGGTTTTGGGTTTAGGGTTTAGGGTTTAGGGTGTAGGTTGGCCTTGTGTACAGTCAACTCGAAGTTGGAGTAGTGTGTCCCGGCCATTCGCGAGAGTGTTGGGGGCTCTGGAGGTCCAATGCAGCCACACTGAACTCACAAAGTAACATCACCGGGGTTTCGGGTTTAGGGTTTAGGGTTTAGGGGTTAGGGTTTAGGGTTTAGGGTTTAGGGTTTAGGGTTTGGGGTTTAGGGTTTAGGGTTTAGGGTTTGGGGTTTGGGGTTTGGGGTTTGGGGTTTGGGGTTTGGGGTTTGGGGTTTGGGGTTTGGGGTTTGGGGTTTGGGGTTTGGGGTTTAGAGTTTAGGGTTTTCGCGGCAGACAAGCAAAGCCATCCGGATCTCCAGTCGAGATCCGCGAAGGTCCACGGCTAGACAAGCTAATTCCAACCAGGTGCATGACGCTTGGAGGCTTAGAGCTGAAAACATGGCGACGTCGCCACCGATTAGTCTCGCCGCGCCAAACCACAAGCCCGGCCTCACGCCTGTTTTCGCTTTGCTGGTAAGACAGCTAATTCGGTGCACCCTACCCAGGAAAACTGTTGCAACTTAATCTGCCCAATCCCACACTGAAGGCCCTGGCATCCAGTGGCACGGCCATCATCAGGTACCTTTCGATGGATTCAGGGCCAGGGCATGCTGTCAGTCAAAGCCGTGTTCTCTGAATCGCGTGACCACACTATCAGGCCGATGGAAACAAGATGCAGGGTTTAGGGCTCAGGGTTTAGGGTTTGGGGTTTGGGGTTTAGGGTTTTAGAGTTTAGGGTTTAGGGTTTAGGGTTTAGCGTTTAGGGTTTAGGGGGAGAGGCCTTTGGGGGTCAGAAGCTGGCCGATTCCGCTTGCGCGCACCCGAGGACAGTGAGCTCCGCAGACTCTGAGTCGCTTGTCAGCGCTCCCAGCTGATCCAGGTTCTGGCATCCAGGTTTAGGGTTTAGGGTTTAGGGTTTAGGGTTTTAGGGTTTTAGGGTTTTAGGGTTTTAGGGGTTTAGGGTTTAGGGTTTATAGGGTTTAGGGTTTAGGGTTTAGGGTTTAGGGTTTAGGGTTTAGGGTTTAGGGTTTAGGGTTTAGGGTTTAGGCTTTAGGGGGTTACATGTTCTTAGAGGTTGGCATTCAGCATCCTAGTACATCTAGTACCTAGCATGATCAGAGCAATGGTCTTGGTAAGGGCAGGTGCGAAGCCAAACACAGCCTCGATGGAGGCTGCGATAGCCTAGGCTTCCAGGCTCTTGTTTGCTGACAGAACAGCTTGCGAGCTGCACCGTGCTATGGAGCTCTTGGCAAACCCCAAACCCTGAACCCTGAACCCTGAACCCTAAACCCTAAACCCTAAACCCTGGGGGCCAGGCGCTCTCCTCGGGAGGCTGGGCAACGAGCATCCTGGCTGCGCTGCTAGATGGTCAAGGCGCGGCCTTTTCCCCCCTGGTTCTTAGTAGGGAATGAGGGAATGAGGGCCCTATATCCGCCGAGGACTCGGGCCGAAGGTGTACAGGTTGTCAGCCCACACGTCGGCGCCCTTTGTTGCCTGGAATGGTACCCCCCCTAAGCGACCCAGCAGGCCCCCCCCCCCTGCCCCCTACCCGCCCCCAAACCGTGAAGCCTCCGCAACCCTAAACCATAAACCCGGAACCCTAAACCCTAAACCCAACCCTCATTGCTTGGGGTGCAGCGACTTGGGCGCTGCGGAATCACCATGCTCATGCGGATGCGCTGGGCCGGGCCGAGGCGGGTCGCGTAGCGTTAAAAATGAAGGTTAAGGGTTTAGGGTGTAGGGTGTAGGGTTTAGGGTTTAGGGTTTAGGATACAGGGATTATATAGGGCCCTCATTCTACTAAGAACCAGCCAGTTTTAGAAGGTTGCAAGGGCGGAAGTTGAGAAGCCGCCACGTCATGCTTGTTAGGGTTCTAGGGGTTTAGGGGTTTAGGGGTTTAGGGTGTTAGGATGTTAGGGTTTTAGGGTTTTAGGGTCTCAGGGTTTTAGGGTTTTAGGGTTTTAGGGCTTTAGGGCTTTATAGGGTTTATAGGGTTTTAGGGTTGAGGGCCCTCCCTCACTGTAATTGCGCCGGCTGCACAGGAGCTCCTTGGGGGTGCGCTTGCGAAACTCGCCTGGTGTTACCTCACGCTGCGAGGGGTCGAACCAGCATGATCCAAACCAGGGAAACATCCGCTACACTTACCCACCTTGCGCCCTGTCTGTCTGACCCCGCTTAGGAATTACGATTGCAAGATGACAATTTGGGGGTTCACGAGACTAGGGGTACCATATTGGGGTCGTTGTTATAAGGGAATCCTACTATGTGGGGGTCTATATTGGGGGTCCCCTATGCTCGTAAGCCCCCATATGGGGATGGCCTCGTACTCGGGCAACTTCGCGCTCAGGTGCTTCACCTGAGACTCTGACAAGCGCAGAAAGCGCGTCCCTTGTAGAGCCCTTTCCGAGAATCCAGCGTTCACGTAGAGCTTCTCGAGTGGGGCGGTTTGCATCTCAGGCGGATCGAACCTTGGGAACATGGTCCCTGAGGAGGAGGCGAGAGGAGGCGAGAGGAGGCGAGAGGAGAGGAGGCCGGAGGAGTCGAGAGGAGGCGGCCGGAGGAGGCGAAAAGAGGCGAGAGGATTGGTGGGCTTCTGCTCTTGGACATCTCGCAGGGTCAAGGCGCAAGGCAATGCTCCTGGCGAAGGCAACACTTGGGACGGCACTCATCCATATAACTCTCGAAGAACTGCTTGGTGTACAGCCGAATGTTGACCTCAATGCGCAGGATTCAACATTCCACGAAACCTCCCAGCCTTTTTCTCCGCATGAATTTCGATCCGGACTCCCTCCGACAACTGACACCAAACGAATGAAACCACATGATACATATAATATACTAGTATACTGCATGTTATATGATCTTACAGAAATACTTCTCTTCTGAGCCAGTGGCACCCTCGAAAACGCGACCAGTCCGGCCACAGCGTTGCTTGGCCGATGCTTGCGACACCCACGTTGTCACCAGGCAAGACCTGCTGGTAAACGAGGCGCAGGGTACAGAGGCAGCGAGGAAAGGAGCAGGCTTTTGAAAGATCAGAATGCAGCACCCTTTTGTTGAGATGTCTCAGGGGGGGGGGCCAAGCATCTCAGATCAATCCTAAACCCTAAACCCTAAAACCCTAAACCCTAAACCCTAAACCCTAAACCCTAAACCCTAAAACCCTAAACCCTAAACCCTAAACCCTAAACCCTAAAACCCTAAACCCTAAACCCTAAACCCGCTGAGGTGTAGGCATGTGCCGGCGCTTGTCATAGATCAGCTGGCGACGAAGCCCAAAGTCGATGACGATGCGCACCTGCTCCACAGGTTGGGATGTTCCCCCTTATACTCCCTTTAGGGCTTAGGGTTTAGGGTTTAGGGTTTAGGGTTTAGGGTTTAGGGTTTAGGGTTTCGGGTTTCGGGTTTCGGGTTCGGGTTTCGGCTTTAGGCCTATTAAGGACTGCTTGTAGAAGGGGAACATCCCAATCCACAAGCAGGCAAAATAAGGGACCCCCCCAATATAGATCCCCAAATAGTCGGATCCCCTTATAATGAACCCCCAAAGTTGGGGAAACCTTCATATTGATGCTGGTCTTGTGCGAGCGCGTGCTGCAATGATGCCTGGCCTTGGGAATCGTCAGGGAGGACTCTGCGATGTTGGATGCCAGGATGATATGAGCCCTTGGTATCGGTATCAACGGGAGATCTTGTGCAGAAGGCGTATCCGAGTATCCTCCACCAGGAACTTGGCTTGAAAGCTCCACGCTCATGTTTAGAACGTGTGCAAAGGCGTCTTCGGTCACATAAGCTGGCTTTGATGCTGACATGAACTCTCGCATAAACGCGTACGCTACCCTTGATCGAAACATCGTCAACATTTGAAAGATATTCTGCGGCCAGTGTCACTCAGGTCAATATCTGCAGGTATAACATGCTGGCAACTACTGGCCATAGCTAGAACCATGAGACTGCACAGCACAGATCTCTCAGAATGCGGCGTGTCTGGTGGTGGCGGATCAAACACTGCACCTTCCTGCTCGTCCTAGCAACAAAACTCAACTTGCAATCGAATCGTGACACGACATGATCTCAGACATGCCAGCGACGTACAAGCACGACCTTGGGGATCAAGGAGTGGAGCACGAAGACCTCAGACAAGGCAACAGCCGAGGTGCCACAATTTGCTGAGATCTTGTAGACCGATTGTAATCAGACAATAACATTTAACTAAAATATCACAAGACCCAGCTTGAAATCAAACCGAAACCCCAGCCTTGAAGTGGAGATCGTTCCGCTCAAGGCCAGGCGACCAATTCATGTGCGCCTGGCCGCCAACTGGTATCAATTCTGAGCATCTCAGAGCGGACAGTCCTGGCGCCTGCTGATCGATGTCTTCCAGGGGCATGAGCACCCTTAGCGACGGACACTTGCAAGGCCGCAGCGGAGACTTCCAAGACACGAGCAGCCGCTGGACCCCCCCACCCCCCCGTATGCTTGTCGAACAAACCCTGCATCTTAGTTGCTGAGTTCCTAAGCCCCAAAGAAGTGTACACGTTCAGTTCTATAGGGGATTAGAGTATCCCAAAAAGTGTAAGTGTGTGCTCACTCAGCTACCAAGGTATAGTTGAACGGCCTCTGAACCCATGGAACCTCCACAAGCCAAGCCGCTCTTGAAGCTCACTGATCTCACCGATGCCAGGCAAGAACACCAGAATGCCTCTCGAAGTCCATCGCACTCTGTGTCTAAGCCATGTGGCTCTGAGACGGCTTCAGTGCCTTCAGACTGCTGTGGCGCTAAGAAGTGCTCAGTAAGGTCAGGCCATTTGAGCCCTCAAGTTCAACACCATCTGAGCTCCAAGACGTAGTTGTGTTTACTTGAGCCCTTACTTGGCCCCGGCCTTCTCCAGGTTGAGCGACACGCAGGACCAGCTCATAAACAAGGGTGTCCAGTCCTCGCACTGCCACAGTCTCAGTCTCAGGCGCGGTTCTTGAACTTCGGAAGTGTGTGGGTTTAGGGTTTAGGGTTTAGGGTTTAGGGTTTAGGGCTTAGGGCTTAGGGCTTAGGGTTTTGGGTTTTGGGTTTAGGGTTTAGGGTTTAGGGTTTAGGGTTTAGGGTTTAGGGTTTAGGGTTTCGGGCTTAGGGTTTAGGGTTTAGGGTTTAGGCTGCCGCTTTAGGGCTTAGGGCTTAGGGCTTAGGGTTTAGGGTTTAGGGTTTAGGGTTTAGTTTTAGGGTTCAGGGTTTAGGGTTTGGGGTTGCTCTCTGCCGGCCCTAACCTCCAGGTCCAGGTTCGACCCTGGCACAACAAAAACTTTGAACCTCCCGCCTCGGATGATGTTTGGCGAAACCTGGCACAACGAGGTTTAGGGTTTAGGGTTTAGGGTTTTAGGGTTTAGGGTTCAGGGTTCAGGGTTCAGGGTTCAGGGTTCCGGGTTCAGGGTTCAGGGTTCAGGGTTCAGGGTTCAGTGTTCAGGTTTCAGGGTTTAGGGTTTAGGGTTTGCTAGGCGGCCTGAGGGTTATAGCACTATAGCAATATGACAATATAACAATAGAACAATTTCACAACATAACAGTTTCGTAGTATGACAATAGAACAGTATAATATACTAATATGACAATGTGGCAGTACAATCATACAAAGGTGTAGCAATACAGCAAATACCAGCAATTCAGGAAGGCAAGTATCACTATCCCCCACTTGGAGGTTCATGTGTACTTGTAAGTCCAATGATAAATGCACTGATGACCCCCCTAAGTCCTCTAAGTAGGTGATAAGCAGACTTTTTCTTGGGGTTATTAAGAAGCCAGCAACCTCCAAGCAGAAAAATGCTCCCAATGACCTCCTTGCGCCGTCGCTTGGGTGCCGCCATGGCCTGAGGGGAGGCAAGGCGCGGGTTTGGGGTTTGGGGTTTAGGGTTCAGGGTTCAGGGTTTAGGGTTTAGGGTTCAGGGTTCAGGGTTCAGGGTTTAGGGTTTCGGGTTTAGGGCTTCGGGTTTAGGGTTTGGGATTTAGGGTTTAGGGTTTAGAGTTTAGGGTCGACCATGGAACGTCACAAGCTGGGCAAGCATGCAACACGGATACAGGACCTGATCAGGCTAAGAGAGCCTTTGCCACTGCCGCAGTCTCCTCAGAGAAGTCGGAGTCGCCCGACCTAGCGTTTAGGGTTTAGGGTTTCGGGTTTAGGGTTTAGGGTTTAGGGTTTAGGGTTTAGGCGGTTTAGGGTTTCGGGTTTAGGGTTTAGGGGTTAGGGCTTAGGGTTTAGGGCTTAGGGTTTAGGGGTAGCAAGAACGCAAACAAAGACCTGAAGAGGAAGCGCTTCTTGACTGAAGGCGGCAAGTGATGCCACATCTCACAGAGACTGAGCAGCTTCCCAGAAGAAGAGCAAGAATAATAGTAGTAAGACTACTAATAGTAGGCCCCTGCGGTCAACGAAGCTGCAGCAAGTGCGGTAAGACCCTGGCTCATCGTCCGAGTCAGAGTCGAACTCGCCCTTTACTTTCACATTCTCCTGGTTTCTGGCATAGTGTGAGCAAGGGGGATTCTCAAGCTATCCCCAAGGGTTCAGCCTTGCACGTCGAAAGCCTGAGATGTAAATCCCACGAGCGGCTTGGTGCTCCTCCTCCCAACCTTCCGCCTCTCTACCACCTGTGCCGAAGGCGCGCTCCGCATCTTTGATCGCCTTGCTCTTGCTCGCAAGGGATCCCTCATGGGTCACTAATGACGGTGTGTGTGTGTTCTTTAGTGGAGGGTTGAGGGCTGGGGTTTGCGGCAAGGCCTACGTTTTCAAGTGCGACTCGAAGCTGACGTAGTTCGCCTTGCCCGCGCTTGGGCCACGACCCGGTATGCGTTGCCAGCAAAGGGCGCCTGTTTCGAGCACTCTGACGAAAGCAGGGCTCATGCAGCAAGAGCAGCCGCACCACTAGCTGTCATAACAGGGAGCCGGGACTCATAAAAGGCGCAGAAACCAACCTTGGTGGTACTCCAGCTCGTTCTATAGCGCCCGGCAAACCCTGTAGAGATCATCGCTTCGAGTGGCACAGCCAATCAGGTTCCATGCGGCATTTCTTTTGGAGGTCCCGGGCTTCCAGTCCCAAGGCGTGCAGTTCCGGACTTGCACCAGCCCTGGGGGGCCACATCTCAGTGAGACAGCTTTGTCCAGGAGCCTCGGCTGGTCGAGACTGCCCGGAGTTTTTTTCGCCTTGAAATGTAAGCACTTGGCGCCGTTGTAGGGTTGTGGCACGGTGTCGGGGCCCTCAAACTCATGGGCCTCTAAGAGGCCAGTGAGGGGTTGACAACGGGATCCCTTAGGAGATCCTTGTCACGGGGCGCCCTCTTATTCAGAGAACCCTTCATTGCATCTTCAGCTGCACCAGCTTTCTACAGGAGCAGCCTGCGTGAATTATGAGGACATTGCCTCGCCAGCCACATCAAAGGATGGGCATTCTTTGGACATCAGGCTGTTGGCCGTTGGGCTTCAGACTTGTCTTTGAGCTTCGGATGTCTCAGAGATTACTTTCGGGTTGACGCATACGCCGGCTACGCATGTGGGCCGCTCTTCTGATGGAAGGCAAACGGAGGATAGTTGGGATAGGAATGACAGCACAGCACACCTCTTGCGGCAGCCTTCAACCAAACTACTGCCCAATGGCCACAGGGAGAGTATTATGCACAGTTCTGGCAAAGTGTTCCTCCTGCTGTGGTATGTCGAATGGGCTCTGCGCGCGCTACGTGCAGCTATCGCTTTAGTTCGTAGAGGGATTTTGCTTCATCTTTTCACAGAAACTGTGAGATATGGGCATTTCCCAAAATAGGGGTACCCCTTTTATACCCCAAATTGAATAGAATTCCCTTAAAGAGACCCCTTAAAAAGGGTACCCCCGATCTTTCGCCCGCCGATCACACCAAAGACAGGGAGCTTACTCCACTGGGCACCCTAAACCCTAGTTAAACCCCAAACCCTAAATCCCAAACCCTAAATCCCAAATCCTAAACCCTAAACCCTAAACCCTATACCCCAAACCCTAAACCTACACGCCCAGGCCCTTCGGGATTCGTTCCGCCATGCTCTCCGTGACGGAGACGCTCTCCGCCTCGGAGAGGGAGATCTCGCCCAAGCCTGGATGTAGGGTTTATAGGGCAGGGTTTAGGGATTCTGAAGGGTCACGCTGTGAAGTAAAACGTGCAGGACACATCTCCAAAATTCGCTCAGGAACCCAGGGGGCTGTGTCGAACAGCTCTGTTAAGGAGCCAGGGGCTGGCGGCCCCTTCACCTGAGTCTTTTGAGTTTGTGGAGTGCAAGGTCCAAGGTGACACGGAGCTGGCGGGTAGAGTGCCATGACACCATTAGCTGACAAGCCGCTGCGCTTGCTTCCTGGCATGCTGTTGGTCTCACTGGCATGGACACTGTCCAGGCTCTCCATGTTCAAGGGCAGGCCCTGGATGTCAACACCTGAGCTCTGACTCTTTGATGCTCCACTATTGCCAAAAAAAAGGCGAGCAACAGTCAGAAATCGCCGCCGCGGCACCGACACCCTCTTGGTTCTCCTTGCCATGTCGGGCACTCTGGCTTTGAAGCCGCGCACCTTGGAGACCAGGCAAAAAGCGAAAGCAATGCCCCACATCTTCATCGCAGCCGGCATTCCATGGGCATAGGACAGAGATGCCGGAGATTGCCCGGAGGCTTCTCCCGGCTTCTCAGGCTAAGAGTCTGCTGGGCGCCCGACACCTGACCAACTCGTTTACACGGAACCATTCCTCAGTCAAGGAAGAGACGATGAGTCCTCAACCTCGCACCTTGCAGCCTGGCCGATTCCTCGGGTTCATTCAAAGGCTCTTCTGCCACAATGGACGGCAAGTCCTCCAACTGCATGCCTCAGCAGCCGCAGGCATTGAGCTGCAAACACATACTCGAAGTGCAGCTGCGTTGCAGCTTCCCTAAACCCCTAAACCCCTAAACCCCTAAACCCCTAAACCCCTCAACCCCCCAACCCCCAAACCCCTAAACCCCTAAACCCCTAAACCCAGCCGAGATTCTCTTCATCTCGAGCTGCTGTTCAGCATCCACGCGCCTGCGGATGATAGGGAACCCAAATCACAAGGCCTAAGCCAGCTCGGATGAAGTGGGACTAGCTAGCCTCTTTGAGACACGCGTCCTCTTCTGAATAGCAGTCGCGACTTGAGAGCGTCCACGCACTACACACACACAAATAGATGTGTATATATATATATACGCACAGACATGTATACATATCATGTATACTTGTATATACATATGCATATATACATGTATACCTATATATATATATATGTATGCGTACGCACGGGGAAGCTGAAGGCACCAGGAAACACGCTTGGTGGCACGGCAGAGGGAGTCAGGCAGTCTCGTGTCCCGCCTGGTCAACTCGGCCTCCAGAACCTGACGATCTCTACTTGGAGGTTCATGGGCACTTATAACTTAAAAGCCCAATAGGGTTTAGGGTTTAGGGTTTAGGGTTTAGGGTTTAGGGTTTAGGGTTTAGGGTTTAGGGTTTAGGGTTTAGGGATATCACCTCAATCATAAGTCTGCTTATAACCCACTAAGAGAACTTCGGGGGCTTATGAGCGCAGTTTTCAAATGTTGGGGGTTCAAAGTACCCTGAATCTCCGATGAAGTCGAATCAATGTCATGGAAGGCGAAGCCGCCCGCACAGCCTGAAGACAACTTACTAACCCGAACCTGCCTGCCGCACACTCTCTAACTCCTCGTTCAACTTGGCGATCTCCTCTTCTGCCTCGTCTCACGGTCTCACGTTCTCTGAGCTCGCCATGGTATAGCGGTACATAGCGGTACATAGCGGTACATAGCGGTACATGCCCAGGTGAAGTACGGTGAGTTCAAGCTGCCAAGCTTTACAAGTAGCACTCCCCGGCTTGCACTATGCAGCGAAGCCTTGAGCAGGTCCATTCTGAGTAGTCGCCCGCGCTCGGCCGCTTCATCACGCTCTGCACATAGTTCTTTGGTGCGGGCCTGGCAAGCACATGGAGCACATCACCAGCAGCTCACAAGCAGCGAACGGAGCTTGGAGCTCCCTACAAAAACTGTTGAACCCTTTCAACCCTATAAACCCCATAAAGCCGATAAACCCGAAAAACCCTAAAAGCCCCAAAAGCCCCAAGAACCCTGAAAACCTTAAACCCTGACCCCTACAACCGCTAGGAGCTCGCCACTGCAAGGTACGCTGAACTTTGGCGCCTGCAATGCAGCGACTCGACCTGGGCAAACTCACATTCTGGGGCATTGTCCTACATCGATCGACGTGGTCAACACAACCTTGCAACGTTAGGAAGAACCATTAAAACACTGAGGACAGCTTCTTGTGAACCTCTCACAGGAAGACTAAGGTGTTCAACATGTCAATATGTGGAAAAGTCATTGTGAAAGAAGGGCTTCTGTCATAGTGACTCAGAGGGCTCTCTTATTGACAAAGGAGAACCGGTGATCTTTTTACGCTGAACCCTAAAACCCTAAACCCTAAACCCTAAGGATCCACTGTCTCAGTGCCCACCGAGCTCACTGCCGACATCACGAGGGATCAAAGAAGGTGCCGGCACTTTCTGGCAAGATTTTGCAGCCATCAGTTTAGGGTTTAGGGTTTGGGGTTTAGGGCTTAGGGTTTAGGGTTTAGGGTTTGGGGTTTAGGGTTTGGGGTTTGCGGTTTGCGGTTTGCGGTTTGGAGTTTAGGTTGCTTGCGATCATGCTGACTGTTGCAGCAGCTTTGACGAAGCAACGCCTGACGCGCAACAAGGCTGGCAAGCAATCCACGGCCCTGAAGACCACCTTCCCTTTTGACCATCGGTTGCTTGCGCCTTCGGCTCTTCCTTGAGCAGAGCGTGGCGCCCGGACCTAGGGAACAGACTGCCGGCTTGCATGCAGGCATTGATTGCTTTCAGGTGACCTGATGGCTGTAGGATATATGTTTGTGTTACCCTGCATGGCCTTGGATGAATGACGCACCCAGGTGAGGCTCGAGGATGCTCATTCTCTGTCAAGGTCAGAAGGAAGCAGTGCTGGACTGCGTGGGAAATGTCCACTTTTCTCAGCACATCTGTGAACCGTCTCCATCTAGGCCTAAACGCCCAAACTTCGATTGCAGGCAACTAGCCACTTCCAACATGACTCTGTGGCATGTTTGCTGGACATGCTGCTTTTACGTTCCATGTCCATTCAAGGGGCTTAGGCCCCTACGTTCTCGTTGGAGAGCCCACGCGACCTCCTCCACCCACCGTGTTGGAGGTAGTGGTCGAACCTTGCACAGGTGCTGCTACGGTGCGCTGCCGACTCCACTCGGTCAGCCCTCCTCCGCTACGGCGGTGAACCATTGGCTGCTGAGGAAGCTTCGGAAATTAGTCCATGGTCCGCGTGTGCTCCTCCGGCGCCGCTGCTCCTGAGACGGTGCACCAAGTTCACAGCACCAAGGTTGAAAACTCTCATATCGCTGCTCGCTGCAAGTCTTCAAGCACCCAAGCCGATTGTAACAGTCCCTTACAGTATGCCTCTCACGGTTTTTATGGCTTTATGGCTCTGTGCAGAACGAATCCGTTGAGGCGCCCAAAGTCTCTGTCCGTCTTCTATAACGGGAGCGTGATATATGGCATATACGGCATTTATGATACACGACATATGTGATTGAACTTGTTTTTCGCGAAACATACATACGTATATGTATATATATATATATACACATATCATACTTTGGCCTCAACATGCCTCAACCGAGAACGGCTTTGAATGCTGACTCGCAATCAAGTAAGTGTTTGGATCATGCGGGTGTTGTCAAGAAGGATCCGAACAAACAGCAAGCGATGAAACTTGGCAGCACCCCACGTCGCGGTCGCAGTCCTTCTGTGCCCGAGACACGCCAGATCCGTCAAGGCCTTAGGTATCGGAGGCTCCCCGGAGGATAAAAAAATCAGCACTTACGATTCAGTAGATGAACCAGCAACAGCCAACTCCGATCCTCCCAATGCCACAGAATCCCAACCTCCTGGTTTCAGAGAGGTCCACCCCATTTCGTGATCAAAGCTCGCTTTGTCCCATGTTTTCAACCTGAAAGCGCGCGCCGACATCAAGAACCAGAAGCACAAAACCCATCCTACAATGTCCAACTTAGAACTTCCCTCATTATCCTCGCGCCTTTCATGCCTCGTTGCCTTGGTGCAGCCTGGACACCCAAATACTCAGGTGGCTGCACCTGAGCTTGGCGTGGTGGCTGCTTGAAGTGTTTCGAAATGATTTGGCTGCAGGTGTCCGGCTGCCTCGAACTGCAGACATAGACGTAAGGAACGGCACCGAGAATGCTGGGCCCACCACCTCATTCCAGGCGATCCGGAGCATGATCACGGCTCGGTGCCTCCACTGGAAAGTTGATTCCATAGGCGAGGGCATCAAAGTACCCTAAACCCTAAACCCTAAGCCCTAACATCACCCCGGCGCGCTGTGGCTACCGTATGCTGCGGCGACCAACTCCGACAAGGAGAGCGCTTGAAAGATGCAATGTGAAGTGTACAGTGAAGCGCCAACTGAACTGCAAGTAATACTTAGTAATGTTAATATACAGTAGAACTAAATGGCATTAGCTATTATTAGTTAATATGATTCATATGAACTCGTATGAGATCATATGAATTCATATGAATTCATATTCAGATGATCTCATATGAACTCTATGAACTCATATGAACTCACATGAACCGCTCTTGCGATGTTGAGAGCCGGGCCTGCCGAGGCGTCGCGCAGCTTCTCGCTCCCCGCTAGGTGATGGGCTTGAGCGGACCCGGCTGCAGATTTTTTCAAAAATCTGCAAAGCTTACCTGTTGAAGGGTTAAGGGTTTGGGGTGTAGGGTTTAGGGTTTTAGGGCTTTAGGGATGGGATGTTCCCCCTTATACTAACAGTCCTTAGTAGGGCTTCTAGGACCCCAGATTATAATCCGTATTGAGGACTGTTAGTATAACGGTGAGATGCATCGACAACTTGCGGCTCTCAGGCGCCCCATATGGGGTAAGGGACCCCTAATCTAGACGCCGGAATAGTAGGATCCCCTTATGATAAGGACCCCAAGAACTTATTCCTAAAACCGTGAACCCCACATGCGATGAATGTATGCAAGGTTTCGCAAGGCTTCGCAAGGCTTCGCACGGCTTCGCACGGCTTCGCAAGGCTTCGCACAATTGCAGCGCAGGGTGTCTGAGGAGTGGCCAGCCTGGTAGCCTCGAGTTCCGTCGGCCCTCATCATGAAGTCGCTCGACCTTGCACCCCCCACCCCCCCCCGCCCAAAAGAACCAAAAGAACGAAAAAGTGCCCCCCCCCCCCCCCCCAACCCCCACCCCTGCCCAAAAGAACCCCAAAGAAGGAAACAGGAACAGGCCCCCCCTACTCAAGGGTTCTCGCAATCACAAGCGCCCGCCTCCCGCCATATCTATCCAGGAGCTGCTCGATGTGGACAACCTCGACCGGATACCTCGGGTTACAGGGGGACGTGATGTTTGAATATCTCAACTATTATTCATTCTTGAACCTTTATGTAGTATATATTACACAACTATTATTCATTCTTGGACCTTTATATACTACATATTGCAACAATTCAGCTGGGCAGCAAAGAAAGTCATTTTTTGTCACTTGCCTTCCTCTCTTCGTTAGAAAATTGAGACGTTGTGAGACGGGGTGCTTGTTCAATTCTTAAAAGGCTTTTTTAAAATTGCTCAGTCATACTCGCTTCCGACGCCATCACTCTCACAGCTGCTCAGTTCACTGTCTTCCTGGCTAATCTCCTTAGAGCGCTTCAACAGAGAGTGGCCCGTGGCACTGAGGCCAGCCGCCTGCAGCTTATCCTTCGACAGGCCGAAGCCTTTGGCAGAAGCAACAGATGGCGAGGTTTGCGTACCCTCCCAATTGATCTCTTCCTCTGTGAACTTCTGCTTGCTGGGCGAATACTCATCAACCGTCCCGGCCGACGTGTCCTTGGAGACACATCTGTCATTAAGGTTGTTGAAAAGAGCTGCAGTCACATCCGCATCGACGCTGGTACCGGCTTCATCTGCTCTGTCCTGCTCGAAGTACATCTGCGCAAGGAAGTGGGCGTAGTCACGATCCTGCTGGGAGACTCGCATGGCCACGTTGGCCAAGGCCTCCTCGTCGAGGGTGCCGAGGTCATGCTGGCGCTGCTGTTCCCGGACCACTGCGGCGATGTATGCGTCCCTGTTCTTGGCTCGCGCACGCTTCCGGCCAAGGCCCAAGCCACGACGCGACTCTTCCTTGAGGCTGGGGTAGGCCTCGATCATTTTCTCGTAAGCCCTCCGGGCATGCGTCCCCACGCTGCAGACACTCGGCATCTCGACGCCAAGGCTTTGTGCTGCGGTCTTGTATGCCTTTGCGATCTCCAACCGAACCTTCAGGAACTCGGCAAAATCATCAGGCTGCCACCATAGCCCAGCCTTGCGATGTTCTGGGAGATCCAGAAGGTTGGGCACGGACATGCAGCCTACCCGCATGTTGAAGTGGACATTCTTCCGCAGGTTGCTGGGCTTCGCAGCTCGGTAGCGCAGGCGCAGCCGAAACAGCACCAGCACCGACACCAGGGAGCCGAGAGCAGCACGAACCCGGTGCCCGCTACGGACGAAGACGACGAGCAGGGCCATGGCAGCCACCACACTGGCACTGTACGGGCCCAAGGGCCGGCCGCGTGGCCCGCGCATCTTCTGCCATGGGGTCGAGACGCCTGGTCCCATGAAAGCACTGATGGGCAGCTCAGGTCTAGGCTGTTTTAATTTTGCTATGCATGAGTCTGGCCAGGATTGGGAAAGCCTGCGACCTAATGTCGACTTCCATGCGCTTGATGCTTGGGCTTGGATGCAGAGTTGGAGCTCTCCACGGATCTACTCCCGTCTTCTCCTTCGAGCGACAGGCTCCATCACGCGTGGATCACTTTCATGCACGTGTGCTTCCCGCTCAAGGGTCCTTTTGCCTTTTGCCTGACTAAAACCTGACTTTGCTGGCCCTGTCCAGCTTCGAATTGGGCCTCTTCACTCCGACGAAGATCGTCTTGATCTTCTTCTCTGAGAAGTATCGGGTGAAGAGGTCTCCCTTCCAACAGAGGGCAGTAGGAGGCAACATGAGGTGAGACAGCAGAGAAGAAGACGTGCCTGCAGGGTCGCCGACATGATGACGAGCTTAAAATTATAGCCAGACATCTGAAGCTTGACCTCAGAGTCCCACTCGACACAGCGGCCGCAGACCGGAACAGCGTGCAACTCTGGGATCTAGTCTGATCTAACCTTCCAAGCGTGCAATCGCAAGCCCTTCAGAACCCTAAACCCTAAACCCTAAACCCTCCAGGCCCACTGCCACCAACGAGAGGAGATCGGAGTCCACGTCGCGCTCGTGGACCTGGCATAGCTTGGTGGTTCATGGTACTTATCAATAAATTACCGTATAGGGTTTAGGGTTTAGGGTTTAGGGTTTAGGGTTTAGGGTTTAGGGTTTAGGGTTTAGGGTTTAGGGTTTAGGGTTTAGGGTTTAGGGTTTAGGGTTTAGGGTTTAGGGTTTAGGGTTTAGGGTTTAGGGTCCCTTATAAATGTACTTATAACCCTATTAGGGCACTTAGTAGGTTCATGGTACTTGCTAACCAACTACAACCGTACTTTTTAAAGGTACTTAGAACCATATTAGGGCACTTAAGGGGCTCATGAGTGGGTCATAAGTACAGTTATCATTGGTTATTAAGTACCGTGAACCTCCAAGCTTTGGGCGGATCTAGGCAGGGATGAAGAACCGTTTGAGCCTAGCTACCAGGTGCCAAGGCGAGGCATCCAAGCCCCTTGAAACCAAGAGATCATTGGTGTTTGGGGTTTAGGGTTTAGGGTTTAGGGTTTAGGGTGTAGGGTTCAGGCTTTCGGGCCCCTGGAAACTAGGCTCATGTTGCTTCAGCAGTGCGCAGACGCTCAGAGATACCAGACGAGCACGCGATGCAACCGCAAACCATCCCAGTCCGATTCGCCCTCCCCTAAACCCTAAACCCTAAACCCTATACCCTAAACCCTAAACCCTAAACCCTAAACCCTAAACCCTAGCTTGCCTCATCCAAGATCAGATGGCTGTAAGAGCTGATCTGCTCAGGGTTATTGACAAGGACCTGCGCAAGTCATGGTGCGGTCATTCTGACCTCAGAATTTCCTCTGCAATCGGTTTAGGGTTTAGGGTTTAGGGTTTAGGGTTGAGGGTTTAGGGGTTTAGGGTTTAGGGTTTAGGGTTTAGGGTTTAGGGTTTAGGGTTTAGGGTTTAGGGTTTAGGGTTTAGGGTTTAGGGTTTAGGGTTTAGGGTTGAGTGCAATCCACGGTGTGGGTAGACTTGGGGCCGGCAAGACTTACTAGGGGCAGTGGCGCTAGTAGGCGCAAGATGCCATAGGCCGCAAAAATCCGCAGAAGCCTTTTCATCAATTGGGGATTTCGGGGTACCTTACTGGGGTCCTCAGGAGAAAGGAATCCTACTGTTTGGGGGTCTAAATGAAGGGTCCCCTAATTTTCGTAACCCTAAACCCTAAACCCTAAACCCTAAACACTAAACCCTAATCAATTATGGTAATGATCACGCCGCACCCAGAGGTGCAGACACTGGCATCTGAAGCCCTGCTTTGAAGATGTGGTGATCTTCGGGCACCATAGTCTTGTTTAAGCATGCTTTAGGGTTTAGGGTTTAGGGTTTAGGGTTTCGGGTTTGGGGTTTGGGGTTTAGGGTTTAGGGTTTAGGGTTGGGGTTTGGGGTTTGGGGTTTGGGGTTTGGGGTTTGGGGTTTGGGGTTTGGGGTTTGGGGGTTGGGGGTTGGGGTTTGGGGTTTGGGGTTTGGGGTTTGGGTTTGGGGTTTGGGGTTTGGGGTTTGGGGTTTAGGGTTTAGGGTTTGTGTCTGACTGCTACTACTCCTGCTCCTGCTCTTGCTCTTCTAAAGTTTGTGTTGCAGTGCCTTTCGGCTATGTGGCTTAAGATGAATCTTGCGGAGTTTCGGGGAGCTCGCAGGCGCTTTTGACAAAGGCCAGGGCCTGTGCTGTACAAGAACTCTACCCATACCTCGGAGCGAAACCCGGCATCAACTGATCAGAATCCTAAACCCTCAACCCTAAACCCTAACCCCTAAACCCTAAACCCCAAACCCTAAAGCCTAAACAGCTCCGCAAAGTCACATCGATGTGTCGTGGCATGTCACGGGGCCTGGAGGAGGTATCCCGTAGTCACGTAGACCAACTTGGTCCTTCCAGGGCCTGGGTCTCCAAGAATAAGGGTTTAGGGTTTAGGGTTTAGGGTTTGGGGTTTAGGGTGTCGGGTTTGGGGTTTGGGGTTTGGGGTTTGGGGTTTGGGGTTTGGGGTTTGGGGTGTTGGGTTTAGGGTTGAGGGTTCAGGGGGTTTGGGGTTTACTGTAGGGCTTGGGAGTTTAGGGTTTAGGGTTTGGACTCGAGACAGCAAAGCGAATGCCGAGACTTGGACGCACTTTGCTATCACCACTGATCTTGTAGCCGATGGACTCACCCACCGTCTCCTGCGCACGATGGCACCGTGTTTGCACCCTTTGTCTGCTCCTGAAGGGATTTTCCTCAGCACCACATGAGCAGTGACATACCCGATCCGTTTTTTCCAGAACGGGCCACACAAAGAGGAGCTTCAAGATGAACGACCGAAAGCTAGAACGAAACAGAGTTCGCACCCGTGCTGAAACACTGTATGCAGCGCAGAACCGGAGCCTTAGCAGCAAGTCGTAAATCTTGGATCGGGATACACTGAAAGGTCTTGTGATGCATCCGGCGCTTGGGGCAGCGGTCCTGTCTGCATTCATATATGAAAATTGCAATGCACGTGAGGCCCCGCTGGCAGCTGAGCAGATACCAGGCAGCTCACATACACAAGAACCCGCATCAATCCTTTGGAAGCAAACGCAAGCTCGAAATCATTAGCCCAAGATCATTAGAATCTATAAGGCCCAGCAGAATCACCATAAAACCTAAACCCTAAACTCTAAACCCTAAACCCTAAACCCTAAACCCTAAACCCTAAGGTGACACCAGATGATGGCTTCACCGGCCCAGCTTCAAGGAGTCTCGCATCACAGGCCAGAGACTTTGCAGCTTCTCCAACCTGCAGCCGACTTACCCCCAAAAGGACACCCGGTATATACACTCACCAATATTAACAAGGAACCTTATACACACTCACCAATCACAGCAATCTAACCCCTACTTCGTGTCAAAGCAGCATGTGCGGAAGGCGGACTACATAAAAACGAACATAGCTAAGCTCTGAAGGTTCCCAAGGACTTGCAACGCTGCCAAGCCAAGCCCGTCGCTGCGGTTCTGGGGTGGTGAACACGAGGAGCACGTCCTCACAGCCACTGGCTATTGCAAAGGCGACGCTTTCTGCGTTTTTTTTTTTTTTTGGGGGGGGGGGGGGGGGGGGGGGGGGGGGTGGGGGAGATGGGAAGTGCTGCCAGGCTTACTGGTGCAGGGCAGACACCAAGTTTGCTCTGGAGTTCAGGTCCTTCTTCGTCTCATTGCTCTTGAGGTCACGCAGCACCCGCATGAAGCTGTGGACCTGCAATGGATGTATGAGGCGGTTACTTGGTGCTTTCCTGTACCCTAAACCCTAAACCCTAAACTCTAAACCCTAAACCCTAAACCCCAAACCCTAAACCCTAAACTCTTGAGTCTCATGTCCATGGCCTTGTAGTAGGTCCTCCGCCTGCGCTCGAAATCCGTCCACTCCAGGTCGATCTGCCCGGGTGTCTCCTCATCACCTAAGGACCCAACAGCTGGCAATCGGCATGCACACGAGTTGCGAAGGGAATATACTCGCATAATAGTATAGTAAGATACTAATACTCATATATGAATATGCTATCATAGACAAGAATTTTATAGAAACAATAATACTAACACTATAGTGATATAATGATATAATACGGTCATGCAATAACATATGAATGAAATTACTGTAAAAAATATAGAAATACAATAGTATAGCAAAATGATCATATGTCATCTTTGCTTGCGCATGAACCACTGTCATGCCGGCAGCGTGAAGCCTGGGTTTGGTCTTGCTGGATCAACCGCCGCTTAGAGGTATAATAATATGATAAGAGACTAGCAGGTGAGATTCAGGGCTTCAAAAAGCTGAGTTCTCAAAAAACGCATATGGACCGCCTGGAGTTCTATTTACTTGAGGTGGAGTCCCCCAAGTGCACACATGCTGGCTCATATACAATGATGCAACAGTAAAGTAAGCTTACAAAACAGTATAAAAACATAATCTTGTATTAATAAAACATACTGATATAACCATAGAATCGTATGATAATGCAACCTTGTTATGTCAGTATTGTAACAAAATACTATAATAATACGATCATGCAATCATATATCAATAAAATAATGTCGAAATGTACTAATATAGCAATATACGAATATACTCACATAATACATAATACTCGTATAGGAATATCAAAAAGACAATCCTTAATGATCTGATAGTATAGTAATCTAATGATATATTATCATGATAAGATATGAGTATAACAATATAACAATATGCGAGTATAGCAATATACTCACAGAAGAATATAAGAACATACTAATATAATGATATATTAATTGCATACTGAAATAATATCATGATATAATACTGTAAGAATATATAGACACAGCAAAACACAATAAAATCATGTTACAAGAACGTATATCATATTTGTATACAAGTATACTGTAAGGTAAACCCAGACATGGGCGGCGTGTTCGGTCACAGTTCCAATCTGCGATGGCTCGCTTACACCGAGGCCGAAGCGAATGATGCCGTAGCCCTCCATGTAGTTCCTGGCTTGCAAGTTCCCTGCTCCCAGTCGAGTATGACTGTGTAGACGGAGTCGACGTCTTTAAGTCTTGGAGACTCAAGAGGTTCCGTACCATCACATGTGGGACCAGCATGCGCAGATCACTGCCCTATAAGTAACGCAGCCCAGGGTCTTGGATCGAATGCTCCTGACATCAAAAGCTTCGTGAAGGTTTGCGGATGAGGAATCGGCAACTCAAGGTCTGCTTGCAGTGGAGAGGCTGGATGTACTCCGGATCTGCGGGACCTGCAATAACCTCCAGAGCCGGTTTAGGGTTTAGGGTTTAGGGTTTAGGGTTTAGGGTTTAGGGTTTAGGGTTTAGGGTTTAGGGTTTAGGGTTTAGGGTTTAGGGTTTAGGGTTTAGGGTTTAGGGTTTAGGGGGCACTTGACTTGTGTCTGGAGGCCATCGGCCACACTGGTGCTGGATGTTGGCAGGAAATTCCAGGAGCCCGGCGGTTGTCTGCAGCACTGCATTCTCAGTCTCATTACCAAACTTTCCTGCGGGAGGTGGTTGACAGTGGGCTTCTGGTCATTCCCCACATCACCCACGCCAAGCCTATGAAGATGACGCCAAGCTCTTTGGGGTTGTCGCTGCCGCGGTCGCCCCAGATGTTGCCTCAGTGGCCGGTGCAGAAGATACAGCGTGCATGACGCACCAGCACGCATCAGCAAGCACCATCGACGCCACACTGGCATTCGCTGAGCCGCCAGCCCTTGAGTAAGGGAAGGTCCTCAGACTGGCCACACAAGGCACAAGGGGTTGCCAGGGCGCGTGGGAAAACGGCAAACGCTTTCCAGTGGAGCTTCAGGCCGTGGTACACGTTGTTGTGCGGAACACCAAACCCTATCCCGTTGACCATACGCATGGCATCCTTAAGACATGGGGCACTCAAATGCAGGGGCGATGAACAACATGAAGGAAAGATCCAAACAGGGCATCGCCAGGCGCAGATTTCATGTCACAGTAAGGCAGTGAACCCTGCATGGACATAAGATGACATAAGCTTCTGGGCCCCCTGCGAATGAGTATAACTTCTTCTTAAGCCCGGTGGGACGAGCCTCAAGCAGATCAGGAAGCAACACTGGAAGGGTTTAGGGTGCAGGGTTGAGGAATTGGGGTTTAGGGTGATGGAAGCCTAGCTATGAAATCGGATATCAGCGCTTGAGTTCTGGAAGCTGGCCTGAAACCCCCACGGGACAGGATGCAAGAGACCGGGGCCGCCGCGACTTCTACAAGACCACGTCCGAACTGGTCAACCTGCTCCAAAGGGTTTAGGGTTTAGGATTTAGGGTTTAGGGTTTAGGGTTTAGGGTTTAGGGTTTAGGGTTTAGGGTTTAGGGTTTAGGGAAGAGCCATCGCTCCAGCTCCAACAACGCAGAAAGACCGCACCTTTTCTTCAACCTTCACGGAAGCATCATTTGTTTTCTTTGGACTTTTCGCCTGCTCGGTCAAGATACCACTTTATGCCACATGACAATGGTCTTCCTCAAGCAAGCACTGCGCTTTGCTGAGTCTTCGGCAAACACGTCTCCTGCCCAAGCGGGATCCGACGTAAGAGCGCCACCGGCTACCGCTGCGGCCCTTGGTCATCGGGATTCTCGCCAAGTTCCGCAGCTTGCCTCCCTCGAGGTTCGGACAAGGCTTGCCGTCGCTCTAGCTCCACAGCTTCTCGAGCTTCTCGAGGGGCAACCTCAGAATCCAAGGAGGCGTGGGGCACAGTGAAGAGGTGAGCCCCTCACAACGCCTTGTGGCCAATGCATTCGGAGCTTCAAGTGCTCTGACCCTCAACACGGCACACTGCCACATGGCACGTAAAGACCCCACAAAGGCTGGGGAGCGCGCAAATGGGCCATCTCCACTGATAACCTTCCACTACAGCAATTAGGCAGGAACTGCCTCAGCATGTGTGCATCCAGGCCTGTGTGGCCAAGGCAGCACTAACCTGGGCTACAATGATGCCAACGACATCTGAGTGTACCGCGGTATCGAATCCGGAGAAAGTTTTTCCTAGCTGAGCCAGCTACTACAACCAGCGTCCAACATCTGCGCCGAGTCCTGCACCCGCTCATGGATTCCGAGTAGTCTGTGGCAGCGGCAAACCCCCCAACTGCCATGTAGCACAAACCTTGGCCATGAGAGGAACCCTCACTGCGGCATGCCTCTGCTCAACCCGCGCGGGGAGCCCTCCAACGGCGGCAGCAACCATGGCAGAACGCTTTAGTCTGAAAAACCTAAACGGACGAAACGCATCGAAAAGGGCCAAGCCTGCGCGACATGGTGACAGCTGACCGTAAAGGAAAGACACGCCGCGTCTTCGAACAAAACTCATCTTCTCTCATGATTCTCATGAACCTGGCAGCCATAGCGAAGCTGCAGAAGAGGCTGGCGCAAGAAGAAGACAGATCAGGATCTCAGAAGTCATTGGACCACAGCAGCAAATCCTGAAAATATCAAAATAAAATCTATTATCATATACAAATAATAACTGTGACATAATATATTATAATACTATATCGTATAATATAATATGGTACAACCCAAACATACAATAAAATAAAAACATACATAGATATATATATATATATATGTGGCCGAGACCTTTAGGGTCTATTTCACGGCTGGTTCTTCTTTCAGTAGTAGTGCAATAATAATAATAATAATA